ATAGAGAAAGAACACACAATGTTGCCTGCAGGTGTCTGATGAAAAATCCTGGACTTGTACGGTGGAATATTGTACCACTCTAGAATTCAGTTTTAGAAAATCGTTGATTATTGGTGGAAAACGGACGTCGTCATATTTATTTCCAAAGCTATCAAAGAAATATCCAATGCCTTCCTCGCTTATGTAGATGGTAAGCCAGTGTTCACCAGGGAGATTTGCCGCATGCGTGTTAAAAATAACTGATGATGGTAATTTTCTTAAAGGTGTTTGCAGTAAATAGTCGCAAGGGAGCACACCGAGAAAATGGGTGTTGCATGAAATCTTATCCATGATAGCCGTAAGCTGGACCGTGTTCATTATTATTTTATTAATAGTAATCAACCAAGATCTGACGTCGGTTTGACACTTCAATGACGCAGTCAAAAATAGAATAGACAATAAGGTTAATTGTGCGGGGTAGAGGCTGTCTGAAGCGCCCTTCAAGTCTAATATTCCCAGATTTGATAAGCGACACGTGTTGTCCACAACCTTCGTCTGGCGTAAGATTGAACGCATAGAGTGTGTAAGCATGCAAAAAGTCCTCTCTATCAATAGACAGAGCTTGGTTTTTGAGATGTTTTCCAGAAGCCAAAGCTAATTGGTAGAATTCTATAATAATTATTATTTATATAATATATAGGGTTTTTATTATATGACCCTATAAAGTGTAAGGTCTCTGTCTTGTGAAACAGGCCCCCATATGGTTTTTGAGATGTTTTCCAGAAGCCAGAGCTAATTGGTAGAATTCACGCACTGCAGAACCGCTCCCATAATCAGGCTGCAGAGGCTTTGCAGGGAATTGCTGCCCGTCCAGATAAATAGATAAAAATTCTAAATCATAATTTTTAAATGCAAATGGGTTTTTATTATATGACCCTATAAAGGCGTCATTATCAACCATAGCCAGAACAATAGATTTTGGTAGAGTTCCTAAGAATAAGTTTTCTTGATTGCAGACTCGTGATCCTGGTGGAATTGAAAAGTTTTTCACACACACGCGGTCGACTGGGTACTTAGCGGTGGTTGAGAGTAGTGCTTGTGCATGCCCCAGTCTCACGGCAGGTGAGACACTCACTTTTTTCACAAATAGTGAGGCTGACAGGATGTTTAGCTTATAGGCAATAGCATCGCTCCTCATCAGACAGAATTCGTCTTTACCCCTTGTCATGCGAATTTTAATGTCAACACCATTAAGCATCAGTTTTTCTTGAAAGAAGATATCACTGTGAATGGGTGCTAGTAGCTCAACAATGTTACTGGCGTCGGTAAAGTCTGCTCTCTTTGTCAGACCATGATTTCTTCCAGCGGGGTCCGCCGCATCCATGTGGCCAGCTGTATCTTTATAGAACAATCCAGCAGAGAAAAGTGTTTCCAGTGTATGTTTATCATAATTAAGCAGACACTCAATAAGACAGCGATAAGCATGTGTGTTTGTGCTCTGTGATATCAGACGATCACCCAACGACACGTCAAAATATTGTTGCCCCTGCATAGTTGATAAGCCCCACTGGGGCTCCGTCGGCAATATCTGTACCATCAGGATTAGTGATTTTGACCCGCAAAAATAATAATGTATTGCTCACGTCAACATAATCCTCACCGTTCCCTGCTATAAAAAACTCCAAAGGTGCTGTGTCTGAAATCGCCGATAATGGTGGCACCTCTATATAGGCATTTTTTTCAATAGCAGTTTGTGTCAGAGGCACTGTGAACAGGTCGAGTTCAGATTTAATACATTCTTCTGACATGTTGTGTAGTAAGGCCATGATCTAGAATATTGTTTTGACAGATCTCTTTGACTTTGCTGTTGTAACACGTTTTGCTGTCTCCTTGCACTTATATTTTATGACTGAGGTCTTCTTAGGAGTGTGTTTTCTTTTCTTCTGTGTTTGACCACTCCTCCTGGTTCCCGGAGGCCTAGACATTCTTTTGCGAGACATCACCATTATTCCGGATCCACCTTGAGCGTTATTGTTGTTAAAGGAGTGTGTTAGTGTATTGCTAACGACATCACTTAGTATGTTTTTTGCAGCTGATTTAAAATGAGGCTTGGCAATGCTGAATCCACGCTTTAGTAATGGTATGGCCATTCGAAAGAGACCCCTGAATAAACTGCCCAAACCAGCTCCATACATAACACCGCCCCCTGCATAACCAGGGAGGTCATTACCAGCCTGATTTTGGTAATAGGCCACGTATCGCTCAGGATCCATTTTGTAAGTGTTGGAATACGGCATTATTTATTTTTTAAAAAACACCATGTTTCACGGGTCTGAAGTGTAACTTAGCACTCACTTTCCCGTAAGTAAAACGTGCGTTTTGATTCTGATCGTCTTTTACCTCTATGGTTATATCTGTAATGGTTGTTTTATTGATCGGTACGTAATGTGCCTTATCGTATCTAACACTGACAATCTTATTATTCTCACCGTCTATATGTACACATCTCAGTAGTGGAACGTACGCATCACCCAACTGATTGATATTCAATGATATCTGTGTATATATATACAAACTGTAGAAACCTCCGTTTATGTCAGCTTGATGCGGGGCATAAGTCACAGCTGTGATTCCACTGCCATAGTCTTCATTAGCTTGATTTGTAGATTCTATACCGACCCCGGGGTTTAACCCTAATATAACAGCTAGCTTCCCGTAAAACGTCAGAGACATCTTCGGAGGGGCCTTTAGAAAGACTCTGTTTTTTACATGATCATATCCGAGGGTCGTCCCGGGAGGTAAAGTTGTGTTTATTTCTCTAATCAGAAATAGGACATCCTCGTAATAACCCGTCTTTAGTGTGTTACATAGCTTTGATATGCTTCGACTTCCATTGTTGATGTAAATCTTAATCCCTTCACCAACAGCGTAATGTTCAGACACTTGTTCCTCATCATCTTCCTGTGTGTTTTGACCCCTTGTAACAATATATGCACCGTCTTCATCCGGAAATGTGTACCATGATTTGGGGTATTCAAATTCGATCAAGCCGACCTCCCATTCTCCTTTTAGGTTTATAGTTCTTGCCAGCATGGTTCTATAACTAGAAATAGTATTTTCCGGATAAACAGCTAATGACGCATTGCAGGGGAGCGTCAAGTAAAAACCAGCCTCAGACATGATTGTTTTTAAATGAATGTGTACACACCTCTGCGTGTTTTCGTTTTATGGCGTCTGCACGTCTACCACGTCTTTCTCATTCACCCATGTGTTGAATTTTGAAGGCCATCCTGTCCACTGGACCAGAACCTTTGTTGATCTACCTTCTCGTCCCCTGTCCAAAAGTTTTTCTATTTTAAACGTTTTGTTCTTAATCATAGATATTTTTTGCAATTCTTCCTCATAAAAAACCCCATCGATAACATCTCCATCATAATCACAGAGTCTATAGACAGGAGGATCTCTTGGGATACATGTTTTTACTGTGAAAAACTCTTCTGTGTAGTTTTTCTCATATCCTTTTGCAAACGGACCCCTTACTTTAGAGATTCTTACTGTGTCACCAGTCTTATACTTAAATACAGCCTTGATGCTGTGTGAACCCCTAGTCCCATATAGGTTGTGTAGCACCGCAGATACGTTTTCTTTGCAAACATCGATCGGTCTCATCTTGATGCTTCTGTGATAGCTTGCATTGTATCCACCCGTGAGGTCTTGAAGTATGTCGATGTACCGTCTGGAGTTTGTAGCTGTTAAATACCTAAACTTTCTAGCTTTGTAGCTTCGGTGAAAGCGCTCGATAATGCTAGCTTTTAATTCTGTGTCTGTTGCAAAATATAAGATGTTGTACTTTTTTGTTATGTTTTGGAAATGCTTGTTAAAAAAGTCTTTTCCTTTATCTGTTTGTAGTTTCTGTGGTACTCGACCCTCTGCCAATATGGATTCAAAAGCCTTAGCCACCTCTACCCCACTCTTGTTTTTTAACAGACGTGTCCATGCATATTTACTGAAGAAATCTATGCATGTCAACAGAAAATGGTTGTTGTCATTTTCCTTGGCATATGCTGACATATCAACCAGATCTGCCTGGAACTGCATGTCGATGCCATAAACAAAAACCCTGTTCCTCTTGTATTTTAGTGGAACTGCCCTGTGTAGCGTGTATGCATCCTCGCCTGCTAGCCAGTCTGAAATCTGTTTATCAGTTAAGCGAACTCTGGTTCCCTTTCAGTCAGTCACGTTCTACGTTACGTCAGTCGTGACTGACGAATTGGGATCTCGCCCGAGAGCGTCGGTCATCCGACGTGACGTCTCCGTTCCCTCCTTCAGGGAACGAGAGTTCCCTTTCAGTCAGTCACGTTCGACGTTATGTCAGTCGTGACTGACGAATTGGGATCTCGCCCGAGAGCCCAATCACCTTCGAGTGTTAACTAAACAAGCCAATGACAGTTGGCATGTGTGTTTCGCCACGCGCACCCCGCCCGCAGCGCGGGTATAAAAGGAGAGCGCGTGCAAACGCACATCAGCTTTTCGCTTCGGAGCCGAGCCTTCTACTAGGACGAATCTCCGCGAGTGTCTACAAAGAGACAGCCTAGCGTTGGTGTTACGGCGCGTCAGCGGGGGTTGCCATTCAGTGCTGCTCATCTTCGGCGTGCTGCAGCTGCCATTCTGCGGTCTCGCCGCGACCTCCCCTGGGTGCTTCAGCGCTCTCTCTAAAAGAGTGTTTCCTTTTTTTCCTAAAAGAGCAAATATCTAAAAGAGCTCCACGAGCGACGGGCGTCTTTTTAAAGATGGCTTCCCGCTCGTGCGTTTCTGGATGTGAACGCTTCCTGGCTTCATCTGATGGTCATGATCGCTGTGTGTCGTGCCTGCTCCACACGGCCGTCCCCCTCTCCTTTCGCCTATGGGCAGCAGGGTCCGGTTCAGGGACGCTATGCCTCCTCACGAGCCCTCTGCCCAGCTGTGGAGCCAGGTAAGTGGCGCACCGCGCACTCAGACCCCACCCTGGGACGCACGGCCTCCCGGGTTGGGTCCCTGTGTTCCACTTCGCTGCCCCACTGCGGGTACGTCGGTGGTTTCCCTGGTCCCGCTTGTTCGGTCGCTGGGAGCCTGGTTAGCGCTCCCCAGGCCGTCTCGCTGGCTCATGAGAACCATCAGACTCGGCTAAGCGATTCAATTCGCCCGGCGCCCTCCCAAGTTCAGGGGCATTCGGTTCACCTCTGTGCTGGACAGGGATGCTCCTGTCTGACAGTTTTCAAACATCATCAATGTGCTGAAGAAACTTTACACACATTACAATTTTTTTCTCAATCATGTAGTCAACCAGTATTTCAATAATCTCACAAACATTAGTCTGATCATTTCTTGAAATCAGCACCACACATAGGTCTGTTACATAAGTACACAGACATAAAATGTCAGCAATTCTAATGCTGCTACCACATTCAGTCATTAGGTGTAGTATTTTTCTGATAGTTACAGAAATCGGTTCACCGGCATTAATACACATACGCATGACATCAGCCCACTCATTTGACATTGCTCTTACAACTGCCATTTGTTTTTTGAGGTTTGTAAAACGTTTGGCATCAACACCACATCCATTTACTGCTAAGGATACATCAGGATTGTCATCAATGATCTTGTACAGCAAGTTGGTCATTTCACATCTAATATGTTGTCTAAATACACATTTTGACAGAATATTAACACACCATCCGTTCCTCATGGCGATGTTATACTTGTCCAGTGTGTGCACCGCCCTTCTAGCAGTCCATAGACAATCTGTTCACTGGCGACATCCACAACTTTTTCTCTGATCTCACGAAGCTTCTCCACAATGTAAACCTTGTCACGGAGTTCGCACAAAATAGCATCGACCGAACCCTGGATCCTCTGAGGATTAATCCTTAAACTGAATCGGTTCAGCGCTTGAGCTATGATGTGTTTAAGCTCTGGCTTTACCAGATTACGTGGTAGTTCCTCAAAGTATGCATCAAAGAAATAGGCGCTGGGTTCAAACAAACAGGAGTGTCTAAGTTGACTAGGGTGATCCACTGCACAACCCAGACAGAGTTCCTTAAGCTTTTTGTTGATAAGGTGTTCCAGTATGACCACAATAGTTGCTTTTATGATTTTGAACGCATCAGTGCGGATACATCCATCTATGTCATTGATGCCAGCACAGGCCACAGCTCCAGCTACCGCACCGGTACTACCGTATGGCGTTGCTGCACAACTCAGACAGAGTTCCTTAAGCTTTTTGTTGATAAGGTGTTCCAGTATGACCACAATAGTTGCTTTTATGATTTTGAACGCATCAGTGCGGATACATCCATCTATGTCATTGATGCCAGCACAGGCCACAGCTCCAGCTACCGCACCGGTACTACCGTATGGCGTTGTAAGAAAGGTCAGGTTGTGATACCCCAGCTCCATGCAGAATTTATCCAACCAACCGTTGTCGTAGGTTTGTGGGAGAGTCTCTAGAGATGTAGCGCTGTCATCAGGCATTGCTGGCAGGGTTTCGGGGTTGTTGCTGTAGCAGCAGGCCAATGAGGATTCTTGAGACGTGGAAATGAATGTAGCGAGTGTTCTGATCTGCAGACTTTTTTTAATGGCTGTAATATGTGGGTGGAGATAAGAGGCGGTCTGGGGTCTTGGGGTCGCCCTGTTCAGGGTGGAACAATTTCACCTTTACAGAGCTGTAACGATCATACATATCACACCATCTGAACATCTTGTCAATAGATGTAAAAACATTGTCAATTATATGAACATCTTTCCTCTGAAACAAAAACTTCATGTCATAGTGTATGTAGTGTTCAGCTTCAGGAATAGGCCTCACACGCTCACGGATCTTTGTCTTGTCGTTGCAGCAGAAAATGTAGACACAGTCATCTGGTAACTTTTTACTGTGATCCCCAACCACACGAAATCTTGCGTCAGGAACTATACCATCCCACTCTGCAATGTACAAAGGGTAGTCACCACAGTCATTCAAAACAAATTCTCCATAGAGAGCCGCCCCAAAGTGTGGAGTTTTGTTCTCAGGTCCAGTACATACTGAATTTCACTTTTACTGTCCGAAGGTCCGTCCTCCCAAGTTTCTCGTAGGACGTCCAACACCCCGCGGGGCTGACGTCCGTAGAGAAGCTCAAAGGGGGAAAACCCCGTGGAGGCTTGGGGGACCTCGCGCACGGCAAACAAGAGGGGTTCCAGCCATTTGTCCCAATTTTTGGCGTCTTCGTGAACGAACTTCCGAATCATGGTTTTTAATGTGCGATTAAATCGTTCGACCAGACCGTCTGTTTGTGGGTGATAAACGCTGGTGCGAATCGATTTAATGCCCAAGAGTTCGTAAAGTTCGCGGAGAGTCCGTGACATAAACGCCGTGCCTTGATCAGTGAGAATCTCTTTTGGGATTCCCACCCGGGAGATTAGATGAAACAGGGCCTCCGCTACACTTTTCGCGGAAATGCTGCGGAGGGCCACTGCCTCTGGGTATCACGTTGCATAGTCCACTAGGACTAATGCAAAGCGATGCCCACGTGCCGATCGCTCTAATGGCCCGATGAGGTCCATACCAATTCTTTCAAAGGGGGCCTGCATTAGAGGAAGAGGGTGCAAAGGTGCTTTTGGGGAGGCCGGTGGATTTACCAGCTGACATTCACGACAAGACGCGCACCACCTGCGCACGTTCTCGTGAATGCCCGGCCAGAAAAATCGGGTCATTAGACGATTCAGTGTTGCTGCTTGCCCCAAATGTCCGGCCATCGGATTACAGTGAGCCGCCTGGAAAAGCATTTCCCGATGGCTTTTTGGTACTAACAATTGGGTTGTATCTTGTTTTGACTGAGTGTCTTGGGTCACTCGATACAACCGGTCTTTTAAAATAGCAAAATACGGATAGGAGAGCGGTCGAGCTAGAGGTAGTTCACCACATCCTCGCCTGCTAGCCAGTCTGAAATCTGTTTATGAGTTAAGCGAACACTGGTTTCCTTTAAAACAGCATCTTTTAAACGCTTTTTGCCCCCTAAAGATCCGGGGTTAGAAGGGGTATAGTAAATCTTTTTCAGTATCTGTTCGGACATATTGTCACTCCAGAGTCTACAAAAGAATAACAAATTGGCTTTAAGTGAATTGGTTTTTATTTATCAAAAAAAAAGCATTTCAAGAAGAATCCGACAGTTTTCAAACATCATCAATGTACTGAAGAAACTTTACACACGTTACCATTTTTTTCTCAATCATGTAGTCAACCAGTGTTTCAATAATCTCACAAACATTAGTCTGATCATTTCTTGAAATCAGCACCACACACCGGCATTAATACACATACGCATGACATCAGTCCACTCATTTGACATTGCTCTTACAACTGCCATTTGTTTCTTGAGGTTTGTAAAACGTTTGACATCAACACAAGGATACATCAGGATTGTCATCAATGATCTTGTAGAATAAGTTGGTCATTTCACATCTAATACGTTGTCTAAATATACATTTTGTCAGAACATTAACACACCATCCGTTCCCCATGGCGATGTTATACTTGTCCAGTGTGTGCACCGCCCTTCCAGCAGTCCACTGCGTCATAGACAATCTGTTCACTGGCGACATCCACAACTTTTTCTCTGATCTCACGAAGCTTCTCCACAATGTAAACCTTGTCACGGAGTTCGCACAAAATAGCATCGACCGAACCCTGGATCCTCTGAGGATTAATCCTTAAACTGAATCGGTTCAGCGCTTGAGCTATGATGTGTTTAAGCTCTGGCTTTACCAGATTACGTGGTAGTTCCTCAAAGTATGCATCAAAGAAATAGGCGCTGGGTTCAAACAAACAGGAGTGTCTAAGTTGACTAGGGTGATCCACTGCACAACCCAGACAGAGTTCCTTAAGCTTTTTGTTGATAAGGTGTTCCAGTATGACCACAATAGTTGCTTTTATGATTTTGAATGCATCAGTGTGGATTCATCCGTCTATGTCATCGATGCCAGCACAGGCCGCAGCTCCAGCTACCGCACCAGTACTGTCGTATGGTGTTGTAAGAAAGGTCAGGTTGTGATACCCCAGCTCCATGCAGAATTTATCCAACCAACCGTTGTCGTAGGTTTGTGGGAGAGTCTCTAGAGATGTACATCAGGCATCAGGCATTGCTGGCAGGGTTTCGGGGTTGTTGCTGTAGCAGCAGGCCAATGAGGATTCGTGGAAATGAGAAATGAATGTAGCGAGTGTTCTGATCTGCAGACTTTTTTTAATGGCTGTAATATGTGGGTGGAGATAAGAGGTGGTTTGGGGTCTTGGGAACGCCCTGTTCAGGGTGGAACAATGTCACCTTTACAGAGCTGTAACGATCATACATATCACACCATCTGAACATCTTGTCAATAGATGTAAAAACATTGTCAATTATATGAACATCTTTCCTCTGAAACAAAAACTTCATGTCATAGTGTATGTAGTGTTCAGCTTCAGGAATAGGCCTCACACGCTCACGGATCTTTGTCTTGTCGTTGCAGCAGAAAATGTAGACACAGTCATCTGGTAACTTTTTACTGTGATCCCCAACCACACGAAATCTTGCGTCAGGAACTATACCATCCCACTCTGCAATGTACAAAGGGTAGTCACCACAGTCATTCAAATCTCTCCAGACGTAGTTGTAGAATAACCACCAGTCTTTGGCAGGGAAAACCAGACAGGGGTCCTGCGTTGTAAAATTGTCTTCAATATCCTTAGCATAGAGCTTCACAGTCCGCATCACTTTGTCAAACACATATCTCCCGACACGATCACCAGACATTGAGAAATCACGAGTCATCATATTCATCTCTTCATGAAGAAACTTTGTCAAACTAACTCCTTGTTTTTTCCTTGGTGCAAAAGTCAGTTCCTTTCTCATTTCAACAGGTCCTCTTGTTGGTGAAATACACATCACTCTTCTAGCGGTTTTAGGAGTTTTTGGAGCAGCGGCAGCCATTGTAACAGGAGAGTTCAGATTATCTTCTGTGTTTAAATAACTATATTCCAACCCTTATTTAAAATGTCATTTCAGGATGTAGGTAGGGTCTTTAGGTGTGAAAACTGGTCAGGAAGGAACAACGCCATAAAAACCCCCATGGCACAGGTAAGATATAAAACATCATAAATACAGTCATAAATACATCAAAAGTCGGTAACACTTCATTTCAATAGTCCACTTTAGACATTCTATTAACAGTAAGTAACTTTGCAACTACATGTCAACTAGCAGTTAGTAGAGTATTAGTAGACTGTCTGCTTAATATCTTCTAACACTTTCTTTGTCAACTTATTCTACTAACCCTAAACCTACCCTAACAGTCTACTCTGAGAGTTAGTAGACATGTAGTTGCAAATTAATGAGAATTAGTTGACATGTAGTTGACATGTAGTTACAAAGTTACATATAGTTAGTAGAATGTCTAAAGTGGACTATCGAAATAAAGTGTAACCCAAAAGTCAATCTAACATCTGTTTGATCTTTTGATTTACACACCCCACTGTCATGTCAGTCATGGGTGACAATACCCTGGTGACATGGCAGTCAGGGTGACAGAGGGGTCATATAGCCATTAATCAGGTCATAAATCTGATCATGTACACATTTGACATATGACAACCTCTCAATCAACGCTGACAGGGGTCATAAATCAGGTCATAAATCACCAATCTGACAAATGGTGTTGGATATAACTACTGATGATGACCCAAAACATACAGCAAAAGCAGCCAGACTTAAGGCAGTCATTGCCTGCAAAGGATTCTCAACAAAATATTAAAAATTTAAATGTTATTTATGATTATTATTATTATTTATTTGGCCAATTACATTTAAGCCCCTGAAAATGGGAGGACTGTGTATATAAATGGTTGCAATTCCTAAGCATTTTATGTTATATTTTTGTTCAACCCCTTGAATTAAAGCTTAAAGTCTACACTTCAATTTCATCTTGATTGTTTTATTTTTAATTCTGTTCTGGTGGCATACAGAGCTGAAATTATACAAACTGTGTCAGTGTACAAATATATGGACCTAAATGTAAAATAAATAGTGGTCAAATATAGAAGCTCTCTAATCTCAAGGTCAAATCAGAATATTAACTGTAAAAATGTTTCTGTAACAGCTGCCAAAAATAATCTATGTAGCTCCACTGTGATTTGTGATATATTTTCAAGAAAGAAAGAAAAAAATCAAAACATCCTCCCTCTGGTTTGTTCAAAAACTCACACCCTGCTATAAATAACACAATATGAGAATAAATCAGAGGCCCGTTCAGAATGGGAGGTTTATCAAACCGAGAAAGCAGTCAAGCCATTTCTGAAAGAAAGGTAACTTATACTCAGGGTCAGTTACCATGGTAACTTACTCTTCTGTGAACCTAACCTGAGGTGTGTTTCCCAAAACCATGGTAAAAACTATGGTAGCAAGTTCAGTTTTTACCAAAAGAGTTCAATGTAACTAGCAACCATAGTTAGCGCACAATGCTTTTGGGAAATGCACCCCTGGTCGGAAGTAGGTTTTCTGCACTAAACCTAAGTTTTTTGGGTTTTTTTGCCATATCCACATGCGATATTTGTTTGAGCATATATCCTCACTTTTTTTTTGTGTGTGAATAGCCCCATAGAGATCTATTGTTTAGATTCAAAAGTGTCATCGCGCCGCATTTTCACGTTCACTGTGAATAGGCATTTAGGCTATCCAGCTGTGTGACTGAATTCAGTCCGGTCGGAGGGGGTTAGGGATTCAGGCAGTTCAGCTTCATCGTAGGGGGTGGAAGGTGTAAATCGCTACTCTGTTTCAGGATAAATGCCTCGTTTGGTTTGGTTTTTGCAGTTGGCGTGCAATGGCATGCATTATACTAGCATTATATGTAGTATAATATGCAGTGTTGCTTCGTTTTGTTTTGTTTTATGAGAGACATGGTGCGTCCGTGAGACAGACAAAGAAACTGACCTAAAAAGACGCGTCTGCAAGAGAGACAGAAACTTTTGAATACCTACTTAATTTATGTGATGCTTCTTGTACTATTTTCATTTTGCACTCTTTTAATTTTGCACTGTTTTAGCTAATTGTATAAAGCATACAACAACGCTGCAATTCTTTTGGCAACATAAATGTAAAAATATATCACAGTAATAAGAATGTTTTTCTAGTTTAATGCGTAACAAACATTTGTGACCATAGCAACCTGTGATTACAAGAAAGTGATGCATTAATATTTTATTTTGAATTAAGAATTCTAAAAGTGCGTAATTTAGAAATTATTATATTAACCATAGGTAGCTATAGGCCACAGACTGTGCGTGCAATGTTGCCTAGACAGCATTCGAATGAAGTTTATCATGACTAAATGTTTAAAGAATATGTAGTCCTAAAAACATAAACTAAAATTGGCCTTTACAAGAAAACGTTTTTATCCATCCTACAGTCCTGTAAAGCCATTAACTGATTGTCTTTTTCCCATAATATTTGATTATCATCATCATCATCATTATTATTATTGGTTATATTTTTATATTCGTTCTGCTCCTGACTTCTATTGAGAGAAGACTGAACGAGTTCAGCGCGCTCTTTAAGAGCTCTTGGTGTTGGCGGTTCAGTGCTTCAGGTGGTTTCCCTTGTCGAGTGGGTTGCACACATCAGGCTGCCCTACCCCATGTTTGTGTTGCAGGCGGCCATCTCCCCTGTGCGCTTCAGCGCACTAAAAGAGCTTTTTCCCTAAAAGAGCATTCACGGGTGAGTCTTTGTAAAGATGACATTGTGTCTTGCTACAGACAACATATTACCCATGCATTTCTGGATGCGGTCGTTACCTGGCATTGGGTGATGGTCACAATCGCTACCTCATGTGTCTGGGCATTAAGCACGCTGAGGTGGCATTCGTGGATGAGTCATGGTCTCATTGTTACCTCAAAAGGGGTGGAGCTCCATTGCCTCTGCCTCGATCTAGTTCTCATCATGGTGGCTGTCAGACGGGGGCTACTTCAGGCAGTAGCACGGGCAGTCTGAGGGTAACAGTGATGGCAACCCCTCCAGGAAACCAACCCTTGGGGGACCATCGCTCCTCTTGCACTCTGCAACCAGTTGAGCTGCCAAAGGAAAGTGGCCCTCAACAAGGAGCGTACCAACAGTATCCTTCGGCGCTCCTCCTGACGATCGGATGTCGATTGCTCCATCGAAGGGTGAGCTGGAGCTTTCTGGAGAGGAAGATTTGGCTGCACTCCTGCCCTCGGGGACTGTAGCAAAGCCTGAATCAGATCCGGAAATGACGACTATTCTTTCCCGGGCCGCCGTAAGGGTAAGGCTCGAGTTTAGACCTCCACCGTGTCCCGAGCCCTCAAGATTGGACGATTGGTTCTTCAGGGTGGCCTGTGCTAGTTCTCAGCACCACGCCCCAGTGCCATTCTTCCCGGAGGTGCATGAGGGCTTTACCAGGTCGTGGATGGCAACTTTTTCTGCTGGAAACTGACCTGCTAACTCTCAACGGTGCTGCAGCTAGGGGGTATACGGGGGTCCCCCCGGTGGAGCGGTCGGTTGCGATGCAGTTGCGTCCTAATACCGCTTCCACCCGGCAGGGCAAACGGTGCCTCCCCTCTCGGGTCTGTAGGTACTTGTCTTGCCTCGAGCAAGCAGCGCCATGGAGCTGGGCATAGGCAGGCCGCCCCGCCCGTCCAGGCCCCCGTCAAACATGGCGGTGAGCAGAAGAGCAAGAGGCCCCGGGACGGGCAACCCAGAGAGAGGGGGAACTGCTCTTCGGGGGATGGTGAATGCACCTCTCCCTCCCCCGGAGGAGGGCCGGGTGGAGAATCTTGTTTCCAAAAATCTCAACAAAAAAGCAATTTTCTCTGTCTCTGGGTCCCATGAGGGCATGGAGAGTCGCGAACGGACAAACACCGGACAACACACATCCTCTTCTCTCGCCAGCAGGCAGCAGCGGGTGGTTCAAGAGTGTCATCAAAGGCCCTACTCATGCACCCTCTGCCAAATCGACCTGAAGGACGCGTACTTTCATGTGTCAATCTTTCCGCACCACAGACTAGTGCTGCAGTTCACGTTCGAAAGGACAGGCATATCAGTACAAGGTCCTGCCTTTCGGACTGTCCCTGTCATCCTGACTGGCTCTCGCACCTCACCGGTTGGGCCTTCGGGTCAACTGGGAAAAGAGCAAACGCTCCTCAATCCAGAGGATCTCTTTTCTCGGTATGGAGTTGGATTCGGTCAAACAGACAGCACGCTTCATGCAGGAACGTGCTCAGTCGGTGTTGAACTGCCTGAATATCTTCAAGAGCAGGACGGCTGTCCCACTGAAACCATTTCAGAGGCTCCTGGGGCAGCTGCAGCAGCAGTCACGCCGCTGGGTCTGTTTCATATGAGACCGCTTCAACACTGGCTCCATGGCCAAGTCCCAAGGTGGGCGTGGCAATGCGGCACTCACCGGGTCTAAGTCACACCGGCCTGCCGCCAAACCTTCACCCCGTGGCATACCTTGCATTTCTCCGGGCAGGAGTGCCCCTGGAACAGGTCTCCAGAGACTGCAGTGACCATCTGATCTGGATACAGACTGGATCTGGTGGCTACAGTGACCTCGGAATAAGAGATAAATAGACTAATATTAGCGTAGATGCCATTCTTCGAGCGATGTAGCAAGTACATCGGGTGTTATGGAAAGTGTTCCCGGTTCCGATTGACCTAATGAATGCAGCCTAAAAATCCTTTAACAAATTTAATCTGTGCAAGATCAGGGAGGACGAGGAGCAGGCGTGTCCAGACCTCTGGAAACGTCATGTCTGGTCCCTGGACGGGACATGGACACCATCACTTCGGTGAGATCACCGACTACAAGACACGCTTACGCCTCATCGAGAAAACTCCCAAAGATGCCCGATCAGAATTGTGCTGTCCTTTTTGGAGCGAAGGCTGTCTCCCTCCACCCTTAACCCTCTGGGGTCCGAGGGTGTTTTGGGGCCTGGAAAAGTTGTTGATATTGTGAGTGTACACAAATAAAAGTAGACCCTTTACAGATTTAAATGCTGTATTACTCTTATATGTATGGTCAAGTATGAAGGAGAATTTTAGTTCTTTTCGCTGTCATCATTCAAATCTGCAAAAAGTTCCGCTGGCGGAACTGTCGACCCCAGGGGGTTAAAGTCTATGTTGCTGCGATTGCTCCTAACCACGAAGTCGGTAGGGAAGCATGACCAAAACGCCATTTTGGAAAGTATCCACTGAACGCAAACAGCGTATGCTGTTCTTTGTCAGCTGCACCACACGGATACGTTGTTTTCATTCAAAAAAAGCGTAAATAAACATAGAAAACGTGTCCGCATCTGACATCCTTCCTCCACCCCAACGCCTCACTCTTAAACTATTCTCATCCCATAGTCAAGTCAAGTCACCTTTATTTATATAGTGCTTTTAACATTACAGATTGTGTCAAAGCAACTGTACAGCATTATACAGTGCTGTACAGTTTTGTTGTTTTGTAGAGTGTTATTCCTGCTTCCTGTCTGCCGTACTGCTGGTTTGTGATTGTAGCTTCGTGTAGCCTCGCTTTTCTGTAGAATCTCTATCTATACTATCACTCTCTGTTGTTTAAAGTGATAAAATATAACTTAATTCCCACCATATTTCTGATATTATCTTTCAACCTAATCTGATTAATTTGATCATTCACTTTTATTCTAAAACCGCGAGAGCAGCGCACCTGCAGTGCGTTAGCATTCGTTAGCCGGTTAGCTTGTCATTAGCATTTCCATTCGCGCCTATTGCGGTTTTCTTTTTTTTTTCTCTCTCTCGCTCCGTTTTTTCACAAGTTCATCAAACATTAATTCCCACCATATTTCTGATATTATCTATCAACTTAATCTGATTAATTTGATTGTTCACTTTTATTCTAAAACCGCGAGTGCAGCGCACCTGCAGCGCATTAGCATTCGTTAACCAGTTAGCTTGTCATTAGCGTTTCCATTCGTGCCTTTTTTTTTCTCTCTCTCTCGTTCCGTTTATTTTCTCTCTCGCTCCGCTCAAGTTCA